CAAGAAACTGCAAGTAGATAAATAGGTACCGCTTTGGTGGGAAGGTAACAGCGTTCTGTGCCTCGGCATTTAGTCATGCCAGCCACATGACCACGGAAACGTCTTTGGACAGCGCTGGCTCTTCAGCTTGGAAACAGATGAGCACCACCCCCTAGAGTCGGATTCAACTAGCTTTCAAGCAAGGGAAACCTTTACCTTTACGCAGTGATGTAACAGCACGGGTGGGGTTTGCCTTGATTGCCTCAAGTCTAGCATCACACTGATTCAAGAAGCTTTGGCCGATCTATTATCCAGCTCTTTGCACATGCTATAGAAACATATCCTTTGCAGCTCCATCAAGGTATTCAGCTCTTGAACACCCAAACACATGAAACTTGCCTTGTACTGAGTCAGACCACTTTTCCTATAGCAGCTACTATTGTCTATTCTGACGGGGAGCAGCTCTCCAGAGTCTCAGGTCAAGGCCTTTCCCATCGCCTGCTACCTGATCTTCTTAACAGACAATGCCAGGGATTGAACCTGGGACCTTCCGCATGCAAAGCAGAGGCTCCACCGCAGCACCATGGCTCCCCGAAGGACAAAACATCCTTCTGTAAGACACGTAAAGGGCTGCATTGTACAACTGCCTACTCTCTTGACTGGCTACAACTGTGAGACGGGATGCATTCGGCGCAGAGAACTGCAGCCAAACGGACGGCCTGGCTGCCCTATTGACTAACTGCTGCCTGCTGTGCCACGCCTCACCTTGGGAAGCGCAGCTCCACCATCCACCCTGGAGGGCCCCCCCCCCAGCAGAGCAAAGGCGTTTTTTCCCCTGACTCTCCCATCAGTTATTATAATGCACTGCTGCTCTTCAACCAGCAGGGGGCTTGCCAGGCTATGCTGGCTGGGCCTTCACTTTCCCCCCTCCAGAGAGTACAAGAGGTTCTGGGTGCAATTTCCAGGTAAGTCCAACCTCCCTGACTGCTAGGCCTGTTCCGTGTGCCTTTGGCAGGTGTGACAGCATGACTGTCTCATGGCTGTGTAAAGGCAGTGTCCCGTCCCCCCCAAGCCTCCTTTGACCTAAGCTGTTCTGTAAACTCTTCAGGCTGCCAGCAATACATACTCCCTCAGAGGTGGGAAGTGGTGCCCCCCACTTTGGCAAGAATTGGGGATGGGGGGGCAGGAGGAGGAGAAGATTGGACTTATACCCTGCCCTTCACTACCCAAAGGAGTCTCAGAGCGACTTACAACCTCCTTCCCCTCCCCACAACAAGACACAGTGAGGCTGATAAAACAGAACACAGGCTATGGCAAATAAAATGCAAGTCTGTGGTCAGGCATGCAAAAAGGGAATATGAGGAGCATATAGCAAAAAATGTAAAGACCAACAATAAAACTTTCTTCAAATACATTAGAAACAGGAAACCAGCCAGGGAGGCAGTGGGGCCCTTGGATGACCAAGGGGTAAAAGGAGTACTGAAGGATGATAGGGAAATGGCTGAGAAGCTAAAGTCCCCAATGCTCTTTCCCCTGAGGCAGCTGCATCCAGAGCACATAAAGTGTGTGCGTGCGTGTGTGTGGGGGGTGGTTTTGGAGAAAAAGCAGAGGTTTCCAGAATGATCAGCAGGGCGAAATGGATGTTTCAAATTGAAAACGGGTGCGTGGGAGAGAATACAGCCATTGGGGACAGCCTTGGAGCTAAGCAGCAGACTGCTCTACAGCTTTAAGGGATTTGTGTTTGCCTGGCTGGCCTTTGTCAGATGCCTTGAGCCGCTGAGAACGGTGGGAAAAAAATGTCAATTTCTTCCCCACGGAAACCCAAAGCGGCTTATGTCAGTCTCATCTCCTCCATTTTATCCTCACAACTACCCAGTGAGGCGGGGTTAGGCTGAGAGTGGGTGACTGGCCCTAGGCCACCCAGCAAGCTTCCACAGCAGAGCGGGAATTTGAATTTGGGACCTCCCCAGATCCAAGTCCAACACTCTGACCACTACAGCACACTGGCTCTCAGTGGTGGTGGTACAAATATTTCAATAAATGAAACACAAGCTAGACCCCTTGTGCATCCAGGAGGGATTCCTTATCCCTTGTCCCTCCTCCTCCTTCTGCCAAATGCACACAGAAGGGCTTTAATTCCTGCCTCTTCTCCCTTCCTCTAGGGCTTGGGGGCAGGGTCTACCATTACATGACAATTTCCACTGTGCAACTGGAAACTGCCACTTGCTGGCTGAGACAGCCCCATCCGGAGCCAGACCCCCCCATCTCTTGACTATGGCACCCCTTCTACCATAGGAGCTTCTCAAAGCATCACCAAATCAGTCCAAGGCTCTCTCCACAGATTTTTTGGGTATTTGTGTGTGTGTGTGTGTGTACATGCACCTAGAGCCCCTAGTGGGGCTTGGATGTTTCAGAGAGGTGGCTTGCTATATTGCCTGCCTCCAGGCCCTGGTATTCCTTGGAGGTCTCCCATCCAAGGACTTGCCAGGGTTGGCCCTGCTTAGCTTCCGAGATCGAGCTAGACTGGGCTGTCCAGGTCAGGGCACTGTCTCCACAGATCTTACATCAGAGTAGTGGTTATTTACTGCAGGAGAAGGACATTAGTAAAGGAGTCCACGAGCACCCCAGGCCTCAGTCACCTATAAGCTAAGGAAAGTATGGAATCCTGGAACCAAGAAAGGACCAATTGTGCTACAGGAATTAGTTTTATAAACGAGTAACCTGGAAAAGACAAAAGGGAGGTCAGGCACTGGGATCTTTACAATGGGAGATAAGAGCATGTTGAAGCGGGAAGGCAACACAGTAGACGACAGCAGAATCCTTCCGAGTTCTCTCTTGGTATCCTGCTAAGCCTCTCCCTTCCTGGATTGTTATAGCCCTGACACACAACCCCTCCAAGATGCAACGTTTTCTGCTCGGGCTCTGAATGTGACCCCATTCTATTTTCCCCAGACTAGGCTCTTTGTTGGGGTGCCACTTGGTGATGCAATGACTGTACTTGTTTCGGCAACGTTTTCTGCTCGGGCTCTAAATGTGACCCCATTCCATTTCCCCCAGACCAGGCTCTTTGTTGGGGGCCCAACTTGGTGATGCAATGACTGTACTTGTTTCTAGCCCACGGGGGTGGGCTGCTGCTCGGTGGTCAATCACCCACGGTGTGTGCAGGAGGTCACAGGTTCGATTCCTGGCATCTCCAGTCAAATGCTCTCCGGTAGCAGGTGCTGGGGAAAGGCTTCCTGTGACCTTGGAGAGCTGCCGTCAGAGTTCAAGAAGGTTTTACGCTGCCTTTCTACCACATAAGACCCTTGAGCTGACTTGCAAGCTCTATCCCAAAGAGAACAATAAGCAACACACAGTGAAGGTGGACAGGCAAAGTGGGTAATGCTGACCTTGATGGACCAACGGCTTGACTCAGCAGAAGGCAACGCCACACGTGCCCAATCTACTTCACGCTGGTGTGACGCTAAACAAAAGTCCCTGTCCCGTCCCTCCACAGGCTGTGGGTCCAGGTCCCAAGGCAATTTTAAGTGGCACTTCCTGTTTTCATCCAAACATTGGGGGGGGGGAATCGGTGCAAGGCAAGGATGAGCCAGCCCCGCCAGAGCCAGGGGCCCGCCAGTCAAGTGACAGCTTTCAAATGAGAATGACGAAAATGAAGGCTCGATTGTCACTCTGTGGGCTCTTCAAAGCACAATAGATGGAGTGAAAGCCTTTGGCAGGAACCCATAATTTTTATTTTATTTTTATTTTTCTAAAAGGAGGGATTAACTGTGCTCATCGTTGGCATAGAAGCACGTAGGAACAGGAGATTGCAGGCCCTGGAGGATGGATCCTAGAAAAACAAAAAAATCCCCTCTGCCCCTAGCCCTGATCAGTGCACTCGAGAGAGGAGCCGAGCAGCCCGCTGCACTGCGCTGGTGACGGAGATGCACACAGACAAAAAAGATCCCAGGAAGCAGCTTGCACCACCTCCAGCAACCAGCTGCGCTCCTGCCGAGGGGCCCAGCTCGCATACGGAGAGCATGTGTGCTGAGGAGAGGAGCGGCAGGAGCACCCGGCTCCTCATCAAGATCAGGTGTACAGCCAAGCGCGAGAAATACTGCCAATGAAGAGACGCTTAGCAAAGGGAGGAAAGTCGGCAGACATTTAGCGTTCTGTTTAAAACGTACCTGCACTGCTGGAGCGTGGAGAAAAAGCCACTGCCAGCCGACTCCATGTCCTCCCTCAGGGGCAGCCCTCTAAGAGCCGGCCTCCGCATGTTAGATCAATGGACCAACTAAGCTCGGTGTGACCAGCCAACGTCCCTCAAAGGTCCTTTCCGGACAGGCTCTCTTTGATCTGGGGCTGCCAAGGACTTAACCAGTTTGGGGGAGTGGTTAAGTGCACAGACTCTAATCTGGGAGAACCGGGTTTGATTCCCCACTCCTCCACATGCAGCTGCTGGTGTGACCTTGGGTCAGTCACAAGTTCTCTGAGGTGTTCTCTCAAGAGCAGTCCCCAACAGAGCTCTCTCAGCCCCACCTACCTCACAGGGTGTCTGTGGTGGGGAGGGGAAGAGAAAGCGATTGTAAGCCACTCTGAGATTCCTTTGGGTAGTGAAGGGCAAGGGTATGGATCCAATCTCCTCTTCTTCTCTTCTTAACCAAGGGGTCCCCCAATCTTACGGAGCCTGTGGGGGCTTTTGGAGTCCTGACAACAGTACAGGCATCACCACCAAAGGCCTGCCCATGGGGAGTGGCTGGGGCCAGCCACAGATATGCTGAGGAGGCCACAAGCCAAGCACCCTCCCGCGGTGGAGGAAGCCATTGCTGAATGGGTGCTCCCTGCAGGCATAAAAAACGAGGTTGTTCCGATGCACCTCCTGCTCCAGAGAGGTGGAGGGACAACCACAACTGGCTCTTGGCTTTGCTGTACTGGAGAAGCAAACAGGCACCGTGTTGGGTGGAATCCACTGATTAATTGGAGGTCTCGGAGGCGCCGGGGCAGGGCCCCCCTTCCCCCAGAGTCCAGAACACACTTACAGGCAACTGTTAGGGAGGTCATCCGGGAAGCTGCAGGGGAGGGAGGAGTCTGCCTGCTCCTGCACACTGCCGCTCCCCGTCACCATCTGCCAGCTGCCAAAGTCGGTCGAGATGGAGGATCCGGGCAGAGAATGGTCAGCCGATCTGAGGCAGAGAGAGAGGGAGACGACGTCAGTCAGTGTGCCCTTTCACCACCAGTTAACACATGTCCTTCTGCTAAACAACGCTCAGTGGCGTCCGGTACCCTCGGCATGGCCGCGGGTACTGTCTGGGTGGAGGCAGTCGAAGATCCCAGGCAAAGCGCTTGGGGGAACGGACGACTGCACGGGCCAAGGTGCTCACCCCTCTTTACAGCGAGAAAGCAAGGAAAGGAGCCAAGCTCAGTTAGAGAGGCGGACACAAAAGGTGCCAAACCGCAAGGCCAGATGAATGGGGCCAATCCAGCAGTGAAGCCATGCCGGAGCTGCCAAAGCCACAGAGATCGAGCCACCAAAAGGGCGCCAGAAGCTGAATGCTGCTACCGGTGAAGGGCATCCAAGCACAGTGTTACGCAGGCTGGGCGAGGGCCCCCGATTCTGATTTGTGAAGGACACGGGAGAGCAGCAAGAAGCGACTTTGGGCATGCACTGCTGGGAAAGTGCTGGGAAAGTGCTGGGATTTGCCAGCTCTCATCCCAGGCAGGAAAGAGCCTGTTCCTGAACCAACACCCTTGAGATGAGCTGTTTCCTGGAAGGCAAAGGCAGCACCAACCCCAAGATGCACTGGGCTGCAGAAGGCGTCCCAAGTGTAGAAATCGCTCATTGGGCAATGACAAAAAGCAACAAGAGAGCTACCCTTACAGGCAGTGGAGCAGAGAGAAAGTCCTCAGTGTATTCAGGAACTGCCTCGACGAGAAAGAGGAAGGAAGCGTGTAGCCACACAATCCCATCACCGTCTTCCACGAGAGAAAAAAAGCCTTTCACAGACTTGTCCTTCTGGCTGTCCCAGAATGCTTCGCTGGTGCGCTCAAGACCTAGATGCAGCGCTAAGCGCCAGACGGTCCTCCAAGCCCAGGCAGTCGGGGAGAAGGGAGCCAAGCGGCATTAGCGGTGCAGCAGAAAGCTCATGAGGGAGGTGGGCTTTCGAGATACCCCTGAAGGCGATGGATTTCAGGAGGGAGAACCCCCAGCAGCTGCTGGCATTTTGCAAAAACAGCTGCACACCATGCTCGAAAAGTCACTGGAATGTACTGGGAATAATCCAGTCTGAAGAGGCCAGGATGCCAGAGACGCAGCAGTTTGGATTCATGCGCGGAGTTTCTATGCCTATGTGCACCCTAACCCCCCAAATCAGCATAGGTAGTAGCCAAGGCCCTTTGAAAACAGGAGGAGGAAAATAAACCCCGTCTACAGGGCAGATGGGATATCGACCCCTCGCTGCGTCAGGATGCAGGCTGTTGGTCTTCAAACCCCCCCCCACCCCCGGTAAAGGACTTTCCCAACTGCTCAGTCGAGATGGCTGCTCTCCTCTCGGTACGGTAACCCCTACTGCCACCCGCCTCGCAAAGAGCCCAGAGAGCTCCCTTCCCTCGTCACCCCTCCTGCTGGTGACTTTGGGCCAGAAAAGCAGATTGATGCCATGAAGACAGATGGCAGGACTAAACCACCCGACAGGGATTCAACTTCCAGCAGAGCTTGGTCTTGACAAGGAAACCACCCCCCTCCCCCGGTGTCTTCACTGCATCTCGCAGGGTGGAGCAGGGAAGAGAAGGGAGGCCTAGCAGCCTGTGGGCTACCTTCTCCTCGAAGGCACCCACCAGGGCAAGTTTGCCCAAACTCCCGGCCCCAGTCATTCCTTCCAGAGAGGGAATCCAGCCAGGTCGGCTTAAGAGGATGGGTAAGCAAGGAGGAGGAGCCGTGTGGGAGGACAAGAAGCAGAAGGCGAGGAGCAGACATCTGGCGGGGGTCAGGAATCAGCAGCTGACCGGACCACCCAACACACACACACACACACCCCCCACACGGTAGCCACAGCCATCGCCACAAGCAAAGTGCTTTCAGGAAGGCTACACTGCCGGTTTGGGCGGAGCCTGCAGACAAACGGAACAAAGCCCTCCATACATGGCTGCCTACAGGGAAAGGAAGAGAGATTCCTTGATGAGACCCCCTCATGTTGCCAGTGCAAAGGGAGAGAAGTGAGGGATGATGGCACGTGGGTCTTCACAGGAAGCAAAGAGGCCTGTAGGCACTGCCAAAGAAGAGACCACAGGAAGAGAACCAAGAGAATCCAAGTCGTGCTCCGTATGAGTCTCACGAATCACATAAGGCTGTCTTAAAATGAAGAAGGCGGGCACAAGGGACTTGCTAGCACATACCCAGGATGGGACTGGGGGGGGGGGGGGGGGAGGGGGGGGTGAGTGGGATGTCAGCCCCTCTGAATAGATCTCTTTCCCCTATGTTGTCCCGCACCTTTGGAGGGTGTGGCCTTTTTGGAAAGCCGGCACACTTCATAGCAACGCATTGGCAAGGAAGCAGACCTAGAAAGAGAAGCACGCCAGGATGACAAGAGCAGGGGGGGGGGAGCCCGCGTAGAAGAGGCTGGTCAGCAGAGGACCAAGGAGAGCGAGAGCTGGAAGGTCCACAGGAGCACACGAAGGCCAGAAGAGCACGGACTGGGCCGGGAACAGAGCCAACACCAAGGTTGTCACGGATCTGACCTCTCTCTGCTGCTCAGAATACGGAACCTGGTGCACTATTTAGGCTTTTTTTTTTTTGCTTCCGGCCCTCCCCCACCTGAGAAAACTAAAAACATAGCCTAGCCTTCGGTTTCAAAGAAGCAAGGGGGGGGGGAATGATTAACGGGCAACTTGGGCAGGCCCTTTGGCATCCAGCTCATCTTCAAAAGTAAAAAGAGTGCTATAGATTTCCTTGCCTTCCCACCCCTGCTTAAGAAAACCAGAGGAGGAGGAAGGGAATAAACTTCCTGGATAAAGAGACTGGCAGACACTTGAGCTCCTCTGAGCTATACCTGAGCAGGGGGGAAAGCTCCAGTCATCGCCAGTGCAGGCAGGCTGTGTGCGCTAAGCTCCTCAACCTGAACTGGGTCAAAGTTAGAGCCTTTCTGCCAGTATTTCTAGCAGGCAAAGCCCCCGCCCCCGTTTATGACCCTGGATGGAGAACCACCTCTGGTTAACCCACACACTTTTACTTGTATGCCACAGTTGGTGTTAATGCTTCACTGTAATTATTGGCGGGGGGGGGGGGAACAGGTGCACATTTACTACTACTACAAGAAGAAAAAGAAGAGGAGGAGGAGGAGGAGGAGGAGGACACTGGATTTATACCCTGCCCTTTACTACCCAAAGGAGTCTCAGAGCGGCTTGCAATCTCCTTTCCCTTCCCCTCCTCACAACAACTACTTCCCTGTGAGGTAGGTGGGGCTGAGAGAGCTCTCCCGAGAACTGCCCTTGAGAGAACAGCTCTGAAAGAACTTGTGATTGACCCAAGGTCACACCAGCTGCTGCAGGCGGAGGAGTGGGAAATCAAACCCGGTTCTCCCAGATTAGAGTCTGCGCTCCTAACCACTACACCAAACATCATTAGCCACAATTACATCCAACACCGAAGCAGCCAAAGCCTGCGAAGTGCTGACAGGGACAAGGCAGCTCCCTACTTTGTCTCCACAACGACCAGTTATATCTCACAAAATCATGACTTCACTCAGGAGAGAGTGCCCTGACCTGGAGTAGCCCAGACTAGCCTGATCTCACCAGATCTCAGAAACTAAGCAGGGTCAGCCCTGGCTGGTACTTGAATGGGAGACCACCAAGAGAGTCCAGGGTAGCAAAGACAGGCAATGGCAAAGCACCTTTGTTGGTCTCATGCCTTAGAAACCTTATGAGGTTGCCATAAGTGTGACTCCATGGGGGGGAAAGCAGGGGAGGGGGGACCTGGTGGGCCATGCTGTGATTAGGAGTGGGCTTTGACACCATGGAAGGGGAGGAGGGGGGAAGAGGGAGAGAGAAGACCCCAGGTTCAATCCCTGGTATCTCCAGTTAAAGGACCAGGAAGGAGGTGATGTGAAAGGCCTCTGCCTGAGACCCTGGAGAGCAGCAGCCAGTCTGAGCAGAGAATACTGACCGTGACGGACCAAGGGTCTGACCCAGTATAAGGCAGCTTCATGTGCTCAGGTCATTGCCCGTCTCCAGTGACGCAGCCCAGCAACCCTTGGTCTAACACTCATCCCTTCCACCCCCTCGAAACATACATCTGCCCTGTGATAAAGGCACGCCAACTAAAAAAAAAAACCCAACAAGTTCAGTTCACTGACACATTACTTCCGACCCCAGGATTTGGGACCTTTTAAGAGTGCACAAGTCCAAAAATACCCACCCCGTTGCTCGTTCCACAGTACATGAGGATGCCTCGACCCTCGTATCAGGCCGAACCACAGACAGAACGAGCCACCAGCAGTGCCAGGAGACGTCTCTCATGTGAAGGAGGCAGCCCTGAGCTTGAGACCCAGCCGCGGCCGCTCCAGACCCAGGCCACGCTTAGGCTAGGCAGCACTGCCACCCGCTTCTCAAAATGGAAACAGGCCGGAGCTTCAGACACCACCCAGAGCAGCAACTCTCAGGAGGAGGAGCGCGCTAATGAGCAGGAGACGGACTGCGACAGCGCGGCCCTTCTCTACAGCGAGACGGCCATCACGATCCGCTGGGTCGTGGCGTGCTCCGCAGCCTCCGAACGGCCCCCTTTCCAGGGAGCTGCAGCTTAATTGGGTCACTCCTCCCTCAACCGCACCACTTTCCCCAAGCAGGAAGAGCCATTCGGGAGAGTTCTGGCTGCTTCTCTCGCCTCAAGTCCAGTCAGTCAGTCATGACAGCGAGAAGGAAGGGAGCCAGAACTCTCTGGAACGTGAGCAGTCGACGGGCTACGGATGGAGCTCTCGCTTTGGGGGTCCAGGGCTCTGTGCCAGCCAGGAGTCAGTGGACCTATTCCCTGCACCAGGGCACATGTGAAAAAGGAAAGGCCTACTGGCAACAAGTTCGTGGCGTCTTCCCACCTCGATGAAGCTAAAAGGCCTGGAGAGCGCCAGGGAATCCTAACGTGTACCACGTCAGGCTCCATGGTAGAAGGATAACTGCAGTAAATAGAAGTTGACTTCCAGGCAGGACCTCTCAGTTGAGAAGCCGGGCCAACAGTGGCCCCATCTAACCCTGAAACAGTTGCAGAGTAGGGCACTCCCCCCACAAGTAGGCAAGCCAAGGTGGTGGTCTACCCAGACCGGCAGTGGCTCTCCAAGGTCTCAGGCAGAGTTCTTTCACATCACCGACTGCCGGATCCTCTTAACTTGAGTTGCCGGGGACCGGCCTTCCGCATACCAAGCAGGTGCTCCCAGGGCCCCTCCCATCTCTGGCTGGGAGTAAGAGCACGGAAGTGTTCCGATTTCAAAAGAATCCACTGTGCTTGAAGAACAGGTCTAGAAGACTCCACAGCCTGCCCACTCCTATACCAAAACAAGCTGGTTTAGTCTAAAAGGAATCCCTCCCACCCATCTAAACTGGAATCCCCTTGACCTTGGGGACTAAGGTGACAACCACTTTTGCATTACAGGTTGGGCCCAAAACCTTGTGAAGGCACAAAACTCAATGAGTAGCCTCGGGCCAGTTGCTTTTCCAATGTAACCCTACCCCAACAGGGGTGTTCGGAGAGTAATGACACCTTGAGTGCTTTTTTTTGGGGGGGGGAATCAAATGTGACGGGAATACAGTCACTTTGAGGTAATCTGAATCAACTGGCAGGGTTATCAGTCTAAGGAAAACACAATACAACACATGTCCTTCAGGCATAAAGCCCAACAAAAGAAAAGCCCACTTAACCAGACATCTCAGCTAAGAAGAAGAAGAGAAGAGTTTGGATTTATGCCCCGCCCTTCACTCGGAGTCTCAGAGTGGCTTATAAACTCCTTTCCCTTCCCCTCCCCACAACAAACACTCTGTGAGGTAGGTGGGGCTGAGAGAGCTCTGAGAGAACTGCTCTCTCAAGGACAGCTCTGACAGAACTATGGCTTGCCCAAGGTCATCCAGCAGCTGCAAGTGGAGG